TTGCTGCAAGGTTAGTTTTTTTGTGTACTGCTGATATGTGGATACTGAATGATTGAAAAGGAAATGTCTTCTGTTGTGTTGTAGCAGTGAAGGCAGTGTCTAGGTCTCTTCTTGAATGTGATCTGTGTTAGAAATGGTGTTGAAATGGTGCCTCAAGGTGTGCTCGTTTTGTTCCAGCCTATGATTCTATGATTCCTGACATTCTTAATTATTTACTCCTTATTTCTTTGATAAACTCTAGCTGGGTTTTTGTACACTCTTCTTTTGTTATTGCAGTAGTGTCTACCTTTCACCATTGTGGTGCTTCCACAAATGACTTTTCAGAATTTGCACACCATCTGTGTGCAATAATAAAGCTTTTAGCAACTCCAGATTGCTGTGCTCGTGGTGGGGGGTGTGGATGAAAGCCAGCCCAGTGAATTAAGGTCATGTCCCTACTGGGGACAGAAAGCAAATTCTAGGTAAAATGATCTAGACAATCCTTTTGAGAGGCATCTGTTCCTGGTAGGACTTTGGCAATCATGGTTATGGCTGTTAATCTTCAGGCTTCCAGCCACTGAAAGGTAGGAGGAGGGGCTCGGGAACTCACTCTGGGCATTAAGGGACACCTGCAGGAAAAATACTTCATATGTTTGCCAGTCAAAGGTGGATGTTGAGCAGAAAACTTGTAAAGCAAGTCACACAGGTTAAAAAAAAAACCACACAAACAAACAAAAAACCATTATACAAAGCAAAATAACCAATTTTCAGACAAGGTTTTAAAAAAAGATTAATATAACTGCCAAATATCTTGGATTAGTGGTGATCTCTCAGTGGAAAAGTACTTCATAATACCAAAATTTTAAGAACTTGACATTTAGAGTATTGAGAAGCAAAATAAAAGCTTTGAGAGATAGGGCTGTGTGGGAGAACATAATGTCAAAAGGAAAAAAAAGTTAATTTTTGTACCAGATAAATACACTATATTAAGAAAATTACGACGTGAGAGGGACATCTTGTGGCACAAATAAAATAATAATAAAAATATATTTTAAAACTCCTCCTCTTCAGTGGTAGGAGGAGTATCCTGGAAGGTTACCCCAGGGTTACCATTTCTAGTAGAAATTCTAGGACTGGTAAGAGATTAATTTGTTCCAGAGTTTCTTATAGGAGGACTATTGCTACCCACTTTCTCATCTTCCCACTTTTTTTGCCTTACTGAGCAGGGGGTTGCAGTAGACACAAGTTCCACCGAAGATACTCATCTGTCTTGGTGCTAATTATACTAGTTTTTAATGAAGAAAAAGATTAAAATGTCACTACCATTATTTGGCTGAATGTGTTGCTTCATCAGTGGCATAAAATATAACAATGCTTTAGCTGTGGGTGGCTAACAGTTATTTTCCAATTGTATCACAACCACATTCCCATCATTCATATAAATTAAGAATAATACATTTACTTTTCAGGAGTAGAAAGGGCCAGGATTGTAAACCATCAACTGACATCAAACCTAGTGTAAGAAGCAAGATGTAGTCTTGCTGCCAGCATGCCTGGACCTCTAGGTCTCCTGTTTGATTAGTATTGATAATGTGGTGATAAAAGTTTAATTATCTTCTGTAAGCAGTAGTTTTCCCAAGAGTTCTCGTGACTTTGAATGATTTTTTTAATACCTTTTAACAACCTTAGAATGAGGTTTTACAGTGTCACAGCACAGAGTGGCATTGTCTACAACACAGAAATATTTCCAGTCTCTCAGCCCTCAGCCATCTGAACCACACACCTTAATGTCAGTTGGAAGTGGTTCTTCTCAGTGGGCTGGTTGTGCCCTGGACCAGAGAGCTGGGGTGGCTGTTATCTTCCAGTTGCAACTTACACCCATTGTTGGCCACTTTGGTCTGCCTTCTGGTGCAGGGATGTTTGGGAGAATTAATTTGAGATATTGCTGGTTTGGGCTTGTGTGCTTTCAGCAAGTGGGAATAAACTGGAGTGGAGTTACTACTCTCAGCTTTGGAGAAACAATGGAATGTCAGTGAAAGGGAAAACCAGCTCTGTCTCTCCTGCAGAACCTCCCAGCTGGGTAGGCGTTCAGCTTACACTTGTAATGAAAATCTAAACACTGAGGAGTTTTTCCTGGTGCACCTTTTGTTTTGGCATTTCAACAACCAGATACTGTTTTGGTCAGTCTCACATTTTCCAATACTAACTTGTTTTTATACATCTGAGATATATTTAAAGTTCAATGTATGATGTTTTCTTTAGGATGTTTATAATGTGTCTATTCATGCCTAAAGATCCAGAAATACTATTTGAATCAATTGGTATGTAGATCATTCTGTGCTTTGGAAAGACAGGAGATCATTTCCCCAGCAGTACTTAAATCATAGCTTGTTTTTTGTATAACCACAATACACTTGCCTAAATTTAATTCAAAGTTTGTTTCCTAACTACAGTTCTAGTACTTCAGTTGCCCTGAGTAGAAATGCCATAAATTATAGCAACAATGAAGGACAATAGGAAAAGGATCATTTTTAGGGGAAAGGTAGTGTGGGAAAACCCAAGTTCTTGTTCTCAGGCTTTTGCACAAGAGTAACTAAAAATCTGCCAAGTCATGCTGTTGCCCAGAACAGATTTTTGACCAATACAAGTGTATTGTAAAATGTTCTTTTCTCCTTAGAGGTCAGTTAAAACCCCGAGCATTGCAATGTGGTTGCTTTGAGATCTCTCCCTTTGGCTGCAATTCCTTTTCCATTAGGTATCCCACAGAATAACAAACATTTAGCTTAGGTTAACTGAAACCTTGAGTTAGTTGGTATCAGTGGAGTTGAGTGTGTGGACTTCTGCCTGGAGGGTTGGATGCCAGTTGCAGGCTTTCGTTTTTGACAAAAGGACTTTAATTGCTGCAGAGCCTCACTCCAAGCTCTTACTGGTTTGATCAGTTCAATTCCTGTGGCAGTGGGCCTGACTGTGGCAGAGGAGCAGTCTGGTATCCAGGTCAGAGAACAAGCTTCCGTGCAGGAACGTGTATTCCAAGATTATGATGCACCTGACAAACAAGAAGACATGAGTATCTTGGTATGATATCTTCACCTTGTGTGTGTTGAAGAGGTTTTTCTGGTTAAGTATGTGTGATGGTATTAGCTGATGGTGTGAATACAAGTGGAGTCTCTTGTGTTTGCTCTTTGGAATGTCATGGGCTTTCTAGTTTGTCCAGTTTGTTGTCTTGGGGACTGTCAGGGATAGCGATGCCTTTGGGCTTTGTGTGTACATCTGCAGGAGGTGCTTCCCTACTGGAGAAACACCTGGATCAGTGGTGGGACAGTCCTCAGCTTTAGCCTTGGTTTCAAGTGTTGCCTAAGCAACACAAACCACACTAGGAAAGAAAATGTGTTTTGGTTTTTTTTCCAGAATAAGTATTTCCCCAAAAGAGCTCGGATGGAAAAGCCTTAAATTACAACTAAACGTTGGAATTCACATCCTTGCCTGGACGGTTGTGATCTGCCGTGCAGAGAGGTGCTGAGAGGAGGAGCAGGGCTATGGGTGGGTGTCTGTCTGTCTGTCTGTAGGACCGGCCTGTGGGTGTGTCTGTCTGCAGGACCGAGCAGTGGGTGTGTGTCCGTGTGTCTGTCTGCAGGACCGAGCAGTGGGTGTGTGTCCGTGTGTCTGTCTGCAGGACCGAGCAGTGGGTGTGTGTCCGTGTGTCTGTCTGCAGGACCGGGCAGTGGGTGTGTGTCTGTGTGTCTGTCTGCAGGACCGGGCAGTGGGTGTGTGTCCGTGTGTCTGTCTGCAGGACCGGGCAGTGGGTGTGTGTCCGTGTGTCTCCGCAGGACCGAGCAGTGGGTGTGTGTGTCCGTGTGTCTGTCTGCAGGACCGGGCAGTGGGTGTGTGTCCGTGTGTCTGTCTGCAGGACCGAGCAGTGGGTGTGTGTCCGTGTGTCTGTCTGCAGGACCGGGCAGTGGGTGTGTGTCCGTGTGTCTGTCTGCAGGACCGAGCAGTGGGTGTGTGTCCGTGTGTCTGTCTGCAGGACCGAGCAGTGGGTGTGTGTCCGTGTGTCTGTCTGCAGGACCGAGCAGTGGGTGTGTGTCCGTGTGTCTGTCTGCAGGACCGAGCAGTGGGTGTGTGTCCGTGTGTCTGTCTGCAGGACCGAGCAGTGGGTGTGTGTCCGTGTGTCTGTCTGCAGGACCGAGCAGTGGGTGTGTGTCCGTGTGTCTGTCTGCAGGACCGAGCAGTGGGTGTGTGTCCGTGTGTCTGTCTGCAGGACCGAGCAGTGGGTGTGTGTCCGTGTGTCTGTCTGCAGGACCGAGCAGTGGGTGTGTGTCCGTGTGTCTGTCTGCAGGACCGAGCAGTGGGTGTGTGTCCGTGTGTCTGTCTGCAGGACCGAGCAGTGGGTGTGTGTCCGTGTGTCTGTCTGCAGGACCGAGCAGTGGGTGTGTGTCCGTGTGTCTGTCTGCAGGACCGAGCAGTGGGTGTGTGTCCGTGTGTCTGTCTGCAGGACCGAGCAGTGGGTGTGTGTCCGTGTGTCTGTCTGCAGGACCGAGCAGTGGGTGTGTGTCCGTGTGTCTGTCTGCAGGACCGAGCAGTGGGTGTGTGTCCGTGTGTCTGTCTGCAGGACCGAGCAGTGGGTGTGTGTCCGTGTGTCTGTCTGCAGGACCGAGCAGTGGGTGTGTGTCCGTGTGTCTGTCTGCAGGACCGAGCAGTGGGTGTGTGTCCGTGTGTCTGTCTGCAGGACCGAGCAGTGGGTGTGTGTCCGTGTGTCTGTCTGCAGGACCGAGCAGTGGGTGTGTGTCCGTGTGTCTGTCTGCAGGACCGAGCAGTGGGTGTGTGTCCGTGTGTCTGTCTGCAGGACCGAGCAGTGGGTGTGTGTCCGTGTGTCTGTCTGCAGGACCGAGCAGTGGGTGTGTGTCCGTGTGTCTGTCTGCAGGACCGAGCAGTGGGTGTGTGTCCGTGTGTCTGTCTGCAGGACCAGTGGCTGCAGGCAGCAGGCAGGAGGATAAAGTGAAGAGATCACTGCAGTGCTCAAGATGAACTCCTCTTTGGTTGGCAACCAGAGTGGCCGGCCCTTCTGTCTCCTGGCCATTAGCTATTTGGAGACCATCAATTTTTGCCTCCTGGAAGTGGTTATTATTGTGTTCCTCATGGTGCTGATTATTTCAGGCAACATTATTGTGATATTTGTGTTTCACTGTGCACCTCTGCTGACCCACCACACCACCAGCTACTTCATCCAGACTATGGCGTATGCTGACCTCCTGGTGGGCGTGAGCTGTCTGGTGCCTTCTTTGTCTCTGCTGCACTACCCTATTGTTCTAAGTGAGTCCTTGGTTTGCCAAATTTTTGGTTACGTGGTATCAGTTCCATGGCCTCTTTGGCGTGCATCAGCATTGACAGATACATTGCCATCACCAAGCCACTCACCTACAACACGCTGGTCACCCCTTGGAGACTTCGCATCTGCATCCTGATCATCTGGCTCTATTCCTGCCTTGTCTTCTTGCCCTCCTTCCAGTGGGGAAAGCCTGGGTACCACGGGGATGTGTTTCAGTGGTGTGCTAATTCCTGGAACACCGATCCCTATTTCACCCTCTTCATTGTGGTGATGCTCTACGCCCCGGCTGCCTTCATCGTCTGCTTCACCTACTTCAACATCTTCCGCATCTGCCAGCAGCACACCAAGGAGATCAACGAGAGGCGCGTGCGCTTCAGCTCTCAGGACGGGGAGGCCGGGGAGGCGCAGCCCTGCCCGGACAAGCGCTATGCCATGGTGCTGTTCCGCATCACCAGTGTCTTCTACATCCTCTGGTTGCCCTACATTATCTATTTTCTGCTGGAGAGCTCCAATGTCTATAGTAACCGCGTGGCGTCCTTCCTCACCACTTGGCTTGCCATTAGCAACAGTTTCTGCAACTGTGTCATTTACAGTCTCTCCAACAGTGTCTTTCAGAAGGGGCTTAAGCGTCTCTCGGGGGCTGTTTGTGCCTCCTGTGCTAGACAGAGGGTAGCTAAGGACTCCTCTAACTCTAGGAGCAAAAGATCTTCCAATGGATGTCATGTCTAAGACACCTATCAGCTGGACTGGGAAGTGCAGGGACAATTTTGTAAATTGCAAAATAAATACGATTTTAAGACGTCCAGATGTGCAAAAAGGTTTCTGAGAAATGCTGCTGACTTAGAAGAATCAGGAGCACATATCATTTTGATGTCACTTTAAAAAAATTTCTTGCTGTGGAGGAGGCTGTGGAGTTTCACCTCCATGTTCATGTTTAAGAATAAAGCTGTATCTTGACACTTACCTCTCCAGCTGGTGTGACTGAATGGAGTGGGTGTCTTGAGAGCTTCAGCAAAATGTAGTCTTTCTTACAGCTTTACTAGATTCTTTGGAGATTCGTGCTTCACATGTAAATGATAGATCTGAAGTGGAAATGTCACAGTATATGGTGTGTTACAGGGATTTTTTTAATATATGCCAAAGTATATTGACAAAATGTTCCAGCATCATAACAGAAGGGGCCAAACAGTTTGTTTTTCAGTGCTACCTAGACAGGACTTCTAGAGCAGTAGTGAACAATGTGAACATTTCAGTGGGAATTTGAAGCCTTTTTGAGCCATGGGTGCAGTGATGTGATCTGAGCAGTCGTATGCTTCGGAGGGCTGGTCTGGCTTCCATGCCCTGTGTCTCTGGTAGGATGCATGTGTGTGATCAGAGTCTGGCATCTGCATTGTCCTGTTTGTTGTGGAGTAAGAAGAAAAAAATGGATCAAACCAAATTTAGCAGTTAAATAAAATGTGTTTTGATAAGCTAAGAGAAAATAATTTCGCTTTGTGACACCAGAATTGTGGCAGCCACTTGAGGATGATGCCAACATGTGAAAATTATTCTCAAAACAGTGGAGAAATGCCACAGTTTCATATGTGGAAATTTTCTCAAGAACAGCTTTAAAAATAACATGTCCCCCTTTTATTTTTTTAAAATCTAAATTCTTCTGATATTTTACATACTGGAACTTAAGGGGAAAGGAAAGAAAACAATTGTCTTCTAAACAGCTAAGGGAACTATGTTGTAAATTTAACTGTAGTATTTGAGTTATTCATAAGTGCACAGGGCTAAATCAGAGACATTTTTCTTTAGCCATCGTGGGATTAAAGATGGTTTGAATATAGCAGGAGCTAAATCCTGTTGGGAAAGGCATATCTTACTGGTCAGAGTCAGTATCCGAGAAACAAAATCTCACTGACCACAGCTTTTTCAAGCTAGCTTACATTAAATATTTTTTAGTATTATAATGCTGTTAAGAAGGCAATGTGGTCTTCATTGATTAATTTTCCTAAAGAATATCCCTGTCTTTTTACTGATGCCATACTGGAAATTGAAAGTGAAGCATGTATTCCTGTAGTAGTGGATTACAGCCTGCATTGTCTGATCTCACCCAGTCTCTTGGGCAGGGATGTCCCCATGTCACACCTCTGGCCTTGGGGCAGCTTATGCCACAGCTTGGTGTGCTGGGCTGCTGAGAGCCTGGGGAATTCTGTGAGCTCTTGTGGTACAGTTGGTGTGTGCTGCTGGTTGAAGTGGGAATGAAAAAATAGTAAGGAAAAATAATTTGATTTTTTAGAATTGGGGTAATTCTTTTGGCCAAAGAGAATACTCTGTTTTTGTTAAACGGTTTCAGGTCTGCTGCTGTTAGAAATCAAGAGGATCCTCTTAGTACTCTACCTTGTCCCTCTCACAAACAGGCACATACCCTCTGATCGGGGGAAGTCCTGAGCTCTTTGGTGCTTCGCCCTGGAGGATAAGAACAATTTGTGTCTGTCCTGTGTTTGCACATGGAGTGATTGCTGCAAACCACCCTGCCTGCTACCCATCCACCTTCACTCCAGGATAGTCTTGTGAGGCTGCCCATGAGGAAACAGAAGGAAAGCAAGAGTTGTGGGATGAAGCACTCCTGGCATGGCTTGTCTCCATGGCCTCTTTGGCGTGCATCAGCATTGACAGATACATTGCCATCACCAAGCCACTCACCTACAACACGCTGGTCACCCCTTGGAGACTTCGCATCTGCATCCTGATCATCTGGCTCTATTCCTGCCTTGTCTTCTTGCCCTCCTTCCAGTGGGGAAAGCCTGGGTACCACGGGGATGTGTTTCAGTGGTGTGCTAATTCCTGGAACACCGATCCCTATTTCACCCTCTTCATTGTGGTGATGCTCTACGCCCCGGCTGCCTTCATCGTCTGCTTCACCTACTTCAACATCTTCCGCATCTGCCAGCAGCACACCAAGGAGATCAACGAGAGGCGCGTGCGCTTCAGCTCTCAGGACGGGGAGGCCGGGGAGGCGCAGCCCTGCCCGGACAAGCGCTATGCCATGGTGCTGTTCCGCATCACCAGTGTCTTCTACATCCTCTGGTTGCCCTACATTATCTATTTTCTGCTGGAGAGCTCCAATGTCTATAGTAACCGCGTGGCGTCCTTCCTCACCACTTGGCTTGCCATTAGCAACAGTTTCTGCAACTGTGTCATTTACAGTCTCTCCAACAGTGTCTTTCAGAAGGGGCTTAAGCGTCTCTCGGGGGCTGTTTGTGCCTCCTGTGCTAGACAGAGGGTAGCTAAGGACTCCTCTAACTCTAGGAGCAAAAGATCTTCCAATGGATGTCATGTCTAAGACACCTATCAGCTGGACTGGGAAGTGCAGGGACAATTTTGTAAATTGCAAAATAAATACGATTTTAAGACGTCCAGATGTGCAAAAAGGTTTCTGAGAAATGCTGCTGACTTAGAAGAATCAGGAGCACATATCATTTTGATGTCACTTTAAAAAAATTTCTTGCTGTGGAGGAGGCTGTGGAGTTTCACCTCCATGTTCATGTTTAAGAATAAAGCTGTATCTTGACACTTACCTCTCCAGCTGGTGTGACTGAATGGAGTGGGTGTCTTGAGAGCTTCAGCAAAATGTAGTCTTTCTTACAGCTTTACTAGATTCTTTGGAGATTCGTGCTTCACATGTAAATGATAGATCTGAAGTGGAAATGTCACAGTATATGGTGTGTTACAGGGATTTTTTTAATATATGCCAAAGTATATTGACAAAATGTTCCAGCATCATAACAGAAGGGGCCAAACAGTTTGTTTTTCAGTGCTACCTAGACAGGACTTCTAGAGCAGTAGTGAACAATGTGAACATTTCAGTGGGAATTTGAAGCCTTTTTGAGCCATGGGTGCAGTGATGTGATCTGAGCAGTCGTATGCTTCGGAGGGCTGGTCTGGCTTCCATGCCCTGTGTCTCTGGTAGGATGCATGTGTGTGATCAGAGTCTGGCATCTGCATTGTCCTGTTTGTTGTGGAGTAAGAAGAAAAAAATGGATCAAACCAAATTTAGCAGTTAAATAAAATGTGTTTTGATAAGCTAAGAGAAAATAATTTCGCTTTGTGACACCAGAATTGTGGCAGCCACTTGAGGATGATGCCAACATGTGAAAATTATTCTCAAAACAGTGGAGAAATGCCACAGTTTCATATGTGGAAATTTTCTCAAGAACAGCTTTAAAAATAACATGTCCCCCTTTTATTTTTTTAAAATCTAAATTCTTCTGATATTTTACATACTGGAACTTAAGGGGAAAGGAAAGAAAACAATTGTCTTCTAAACAGCTAAGGGAACTATGTTGTAAATTTAACTGTAGTATTTGAGTTATTCATAAGTGCACAGGGCTAAATCAGAGACATTTTTCTTTAGCCATCGTGGGATTAAAGATGGTTTGAATATAGCAGGAGCTAAATCCTGTTGGGAAAGGCATATCTTACTGGTCAGAGTCAGTATCCGAGAAACAAAATCTCACTGACCACAGCTTTTTCAAGCTAGCTTACATTAAATATTTTTTAGTATTATAATGCTGTTAAGAAGGCAATGTGGTCTTCATTGATTAATTTTCCTAAAGAATATCCCTGTCTTTTTACTGATGCCATACTGGAAATTGAAAGTGAAGCATGTATTCCTGTAGTAGTGGATTACAGCCTGCATTGTCTGATCTCACCCAGTCTCTTGGGCAGGGATGTCCCCATGTCACACCTCTGGCCTTGGGGCAGCTTATGCCACAGCTTGGTGTGCTGGGCTGCTGAGAGCCTGGGGAATTCTGTGAGCTCTTGTGGTACAGTTGGTGTGTGCTGCTGGTTGAAGTGGGAATGAAAAAATAGTAAGGAAAAATAATTTGATTTTTTAGAATTGGGGTAATTCTTTTGGCCAAAGAGAATACTCTGTTTTTGTTAAACGGTTTCAGGTCTGCTGCTGTTAGAAATCAAGAGGATCCTCTTAGTACTCTACCTTGTCCCTCTCACAAACAGGCACATACCCTCTGATCGGGGGAAGTCCTGAGCTCTTTGGTGCTTCGCCCTGGAGGATAAGAACAATTTGTGTCTGTCCTGTGTTTGCACATGGAGTGATTGCTGCAAACCACCCTGCCTGCTACCCATCCACCTTCACTCCAGGATAGTCTTGTGAGGCTGCCCATGAGGAAACAGAAGGAAAGCAAGAGTTGTGGGATGAAGCACTCCTGGCATGGCTTGTACTTGTCAGCTGATAGACACAAGCTCCTCCTAGGGAGAGCTGTATGTGCTTATTCCTGGGGAGGATGAGGCAGAACCCCGTGCTCTTGCTGCCTCTTGCAAAACACATTTAAGTCCTGTATCTTGGTCTGCTTTCAATGTATTTCATCCCTAGCCCAAACCTCCTGAGATAAACTTTCTCCTTAGTTGATCTGAAATTTTAAATCCAAACCCTGATGCTTTCATGGTGACACCTCTGGTTACCTTTTGTCATAAGAGAGTGTCTAGAAGCAGGGTTGTGCTGTGGTCCTTGCACAGGACCCCAGGGGTGATGTCTGCAGAACTCTTTGGAATTTTGGTTAGAGTCACAGACAGCTGGGGGGGGAGCCGAGTGTGAGGGTGTTGTGAGTCATTTATAAATGGGATAATAAGCTCATAGCCCATCAGCTGGCTAATTGTTCTCAAGAGTTTTGTAGATATTATGGCAAGGGTGGGCTTTGGGGAACAATTTAAGGGCTTTAGTCACTAATATCAAAGTGTGTGCATGTGGTATTTTTGGAACAGCCTCTCAGGTAAACTCCCAATAGCTTTTCTCTGACACTTCACCTTATCTAACATTTCCCAGTCTTTGAAGTGATGCAGTCTATCATTAAAATAGCATTTGATTAAATTTAATAAAAGAATCTGCTAGTGCCTAAAACCCTAAAAATGGCAGTTTGAGGTTTAAGTGGAAGCCGAAGAGCAAAGATTGTTGCTTTTTTTTTTCCATGGCATGAATAGAGGCTTTAAATGGGAGCAGTGTATGCTAGCTTTTTAGAATGTGGAAAATTTAAAAAAGTGGTTAGGGGTCTAAATGATGGCATAGAGATTTAACTTGAGATGAAGC